TTGAATTGAATGCTACATGGACTTTGTATAACAAAATTGGTATCTGTATGATGCAGAAACAAAGGCAGTCTGCAACATAGCAAAGTACTATTTCAAAAGTTCTTTGAATAAATAAGTTGAAACTCATATCATTTTCTAACAGAAACATTCTCAGGCAAGGTAAACTTCTCAGACCACTTAAATGACTCGTTAATTCCATAATAAATTTGAATCTAGTTTTATATCAAAAGTATACTTGGGCATTGCTTATAATGTTTCTAGGGAAGATGTTTTTATAGTTCCGAGGGTGATGCCGGGAATGTTTTTGCTGCTGCAAGTTGGTTTAGAGATACTCCTTTTATTCCTGAACAGTGAAGAGAGAGAGAAAAAGCATCATCTATTCTAGTTGGCTCCCCTCAGGCCCTAAGACTGGGATTCCAGCAGCCTGGGTGGAAGTGTGATTTAGGTAGATTTAAAACAAGTGGCTGAGGGCACCTGTTAAAACATTTTTGGAACTAGCCATTCCTGCTCAGGCTGTTTCTTTCCTTCCATAACCTTCCGTAATAGACCTCTTTGCTTCATTTGCTGTTTGAACTTTCCCTTGGTTCTGGCCAGCATTTCTCTTCGTCCAGCTGACTGCTGCACAAATCCACATTTTCAATGCTTTCCTCCATTTTCTAGTCCTTGAAGCATTCCCAGATGATTGGGGTTTTCTAAAGGCTTTCACTGTTAACACCGAAGGAAAAATAAAATAAAGCAAAGCTCCATCCGGTGCCACCATGGGAACCGGACTCTGCTATACTGGCATTTAATCCCCAAAATGAGGGATAAAGTCTTGAAAATAATGTGAAGGGCTGGAAAGGAGAGGATAGAAGCTAGCAAGCTCAATCAATATATGTAAGAAGAGAATAAAATCTTATTCTGTATTCTTCTTTCTGCTGGCTGGGACCAGTACCAGTTTTATTGGTTGGAAAGTCACCTGCAGTAGAGGCAGTTTTGATGAAGGAGAGAGAGAGCCAAAGAAAAATAAAGGGAGCTGGTCAGAAGCAACTAGCAGGGAAGGAAGGAAGCCAGAAGAGAGAAAGAATGGCTAAATAGTGACGGATTACTTGAGTGTAAAATGTAGCACATAAGTTGCCTCTTGCTTATAGATTTAGATGAAGCCTTTCACAGTGGTAAACTTAAATATTGATTATACAAAAAAGAGTTACCTGTAATATTTTATATCAATCTTTGATTTATCCACTGGTCATGATTAAATTCCTGATTTTCTTTATATTGAAGCAAACTCATTTGTTTCCTTACTCATCCTCCCCCGCCCCCAGAAAAAAAAGTATATAATTAAAATTATGTGCAAGGAACATTCATGATAAATTAAACTTACTGTCTTTACAGTCTTAAAAGCTAGGGCCCAAAGGAAATTTTTTTTTTGTGGAGATGTTCTTTTGAAGTAATTGAAGAATATACAGTTTAATAGTATGCAGCTTCCCTTCATGTCAACAGCACAAAAATTATTCATAACATGACTGATGTACTGGTGCCTATTCTCATTTTCGTGAGGGAAACGTGTCTTGTCTGAAAGGAAAGGAAAATTTAAGGTATCTTTTTTTTTTGTGATTTTATTCCTTATTTTCATAATGAAAAAAAATGAGGATGATCTTTATAGGTGGCATGGTCATCAAAGTAAAGTTGATTACTAAGATTCCCTTGATGTACATAGCAGAATTAGTCAGCAGAATTAAGAAGCCAAGGTTTTCTGCAAACCAAGAGTTTCTTCCTAAGGTGACAGTGTCCACAGGTAAGGCTGGATAGACTGCTTTCTTCCTTACATTAAAGCAAAATATACTACTTTACTTTTTACAGTCTGGCATGCCAATTTTTGCCTCTCTCTCTGTTGCTATTAAAAATCAAAATACTATTTGATTGCCAAAGATCTACAAAGAGAAAGCAAAAATTGATGTTATGAGGAAAACTATTCTTTTAAAAATCATATTCTTTTATTTCAAAAATCAAGTAGAAAGGAAAGAGAAAAGGAAAAACACCTGGAGAATGGCTGTAAATGGTAGAGCTACCACCATTTATTATGTCCAAATTATGAAATAATATAGGGATCACTTTTAGGTTAACCATCTTTAAATTTATTTATTTATCTTTTTAGAGGGAAAGTGTGAGGGAGCAAGTCGGGGGAGGGGCAGAGAAAGAGGGAGAGATTGAGAATCTCCAGCAGACTCCCTGCTAATCACACACATGGGGTTTTATATTAGGACCCCGAGATCTAACTTGAACCAAAATCAAGTCAGATACTTAACTGACTGAGCCATCCAGGAGCCCCTAGCTTACCAGATTTAAATCAATTAAAGCAAACAAATGGATACCAAAGGGGTAGAATAGAATGATAGAAGTAAAGAGGTTTTTTTGTTTTTTTTTAATTCTATGACTGAGTCTAAAAACATATGGAAAGCCAGTAAAGTCTGTTCCAAGACAGTATTCTTCTTTATATGGTCATTTTTTTTAACATATAGGAGTTAATATATTACCCTTCCTTTTATTCTAGTACTTTGATTATTTTTAATTATTTTTAATTTTTAAATTTGTTTTTTAAGTAGGTTCCATGCCCAAACATGGGGTTTGAACTCACAAGCCAGAGATTAAGAATTTGCATACTCGACCCACTAAACTAGTCAGGTGTCCTTGATTTTTTTCTTTTCTTTTTCTTTTTTTTTTTTTTTTTTCTAAGTCTTCTGAGACAGCCTGTTTTTCTAAATTCGGTCAAGTCAGGATTTGTTTACACATTGGGCATGACTAGGATTTGCATACAAGGGGTTCCATTAAGTTTGCTGGTCTATGAATAAAAACTCAGAAACATGCCAGATGGCAGGACAAGATCAATGGCGCCACCTGTGGCCCTGTGTCTTAGTTGACAGTGAAAGAAGAAAACTCACTTTCAGGGGATCAGAATCAATGACCTTGATTTTATTACAGGACAACTTCCTTTCCTTATCTTACTTAGCTCATTTATGAAACTGGTGTTGGGCCCGGGCCGGTGTTATTTGTTTTTCATTTTTATTTTACTATTAGGTTTTCATGCAGCACTTTACCAAAAAACCATTTTCCTGAGACTGCTACTTCTCATCACCATATTTGCCAGTCTTTGTTTACAGAAGTTAATTGGAGCCATAGTAAATGATAGACTATTTTGACAATTGACTCTCCCCTAAACCCCATAATTTTGTGGTTTTACTTTATATATTAAATAATTTTATTTTTTTAAGCAAGCATTTTAAATGGGGACTAGAATTTTAAAGGGTGGTTAACGTTAAATGAAAGTGTTTCTTAAACATGAAAATAATCTATAAAATGAAAATGTGTCTTAAACATTAAAATAATTTCTATATTTTTATAATTTCCAATGTAGTAAAATAAATCTTTAATATTTTGTATTCATGTCACCTCAAAGTTGCAACTGAAAAGTAGCAAATTCAGTCTTACCTCCTTATTTAGCAAATTAGAAACCAAACCAATCAGGAAATGAATATCACATATCAAGTATTTGTCTTTTTTTTGTTATTTCTCTTAAAATAAACTCTGGCAAACCAAGTATTTTGTACAGATGCTGTTGTCCACCTTTATCCACTAGCTATTTTTGGTCATATGTTAGGACCACATCAGTAAACGTGCCTATGTTGATATTTCAGTTTCCTGCTATTATATTTTAAACAAAATTAATGATTTTGAATTTGTTAATAACTTTAACAATTGAAAAGAGTTATTTGTTGAACCTTATGAAATGATGCTTTTATAAGTTGTTTTTCTCCCAAGTTCCTACACTTGCTGTTTTTTTGTTCTTCATAAACACTTTTGATCAAATAGCCACTTTTAAAATTACAGCTGGTTAAATAAAAGACTGAGACTAGAAATGTCAACATGGCTGTATTTTATTATTGAAAACATTTGATAAATACCAAAATCTTGATGTTGCCCTAGTCTTGGAAGATAGCTTCTCTTCCATGTCTTAACCTGGATGCCAAGCCCTGTGTATCAACGGTACTTGGATTGTCTAGTAGTTACAAAGGGTAATTTAAATCCCATACACTTGTATTGTTTATGTGTAGGAAATACATACAAAATCTGCTTGTATTATGTATGTGTGTTTGTATATACACGTATATATGTACACATATGGAAATACACGTACATATATGAACATGTGTAAAATTATATAGGTTATATGGAAACAAAAAGAGAAGTTTACCAAATATTGTCATTATATTAACTATATTCATATTCACACCCTAAGGAGAAGTACAACGTCAATAAATCATGATAAATTTTGCCTAATGGACAGCTCCCAAATGGACTTTTCTTGCAATGATTACTTTTTCTAGTTAACCATTTTAAAAGTCAGCCTTTTAACAAATTGCGATAAACTACCATTATTTGCAATGAAATATGAACACTATAAATAAAGTATATTATAAATTTTAGTTACATAGATTTTCATTGTATTTAAGGAAAATATTGAAGTATTAGAAATACTTAAAGGCCATGATGGTAAATGGAATTAGATATTTTGTAGAAGTGGAATATCTTTAAGTGAAATTTCATGGCTGTTGGCAATGGACTTTATTGTATCCAAGTCCAAATCAGAGTTGAGGCAAGAACTTTTTGGAATTGTAAATAAATAAAAAAATAAGATTTTAAAGATAATTGTCTAGAAAAACCACGCCAGTAACATGTAAGAATAATGTTTATTTTACACAGGACAGGAAAGGCTTTTTAAATATCCTTGCTCAGGACATGGCAGTATTACCAAAACTTTGTCTCACATTCTTTAAATGCTGCCAATAGGAGGGAACCTGCTTCCCATGATTTTGTTTCCCCCTTTGAACGGTAGCGATGGAGCACTTGCATGATGTGTTTGGTGCCTTGCATGAGGAAGACATGCAAAGGCAAAGGTCCAGTCTGCATGCTGCTTAATGAATGTTTTTCCTTTTCTCTCCCTCCTTGTCATGTGCTTTCAGAAGACAACAATGTGGAAGGTGGGTGCTTTCTACTTTATTTTCCAACTCTCATTTACTTTTTAGTTCTTAGTATTAATAGAGTACATCTCGAATTTAGACGGTAAGTTGAACTTCTGAGCATTTGTTGATTTCTGGATTGTGCATCACTTTTCATATAGAACATGCACTCTCAACCCCGTCAGCCTCTATTTGAAACTCCTTCAGCTTTAACTCCAACTCTTGATGAATTCCAGCATCCCATATAAACCCTAGAATGTTTGATGCAGTGTTCTGTATGGAAAACATGATACAATCCTGCTTCTTTTATTTTAGATGAGAAAGTATTTCTTTGCAGTTTCAGAACTCAGTGCATGATCTTTTCTCCATTTTTTTTTCTTGGTCAGAGTGATTTATTTTCTTTTGGAAATGTTTAGCATTACATCACCTCAAACTCATTGGTTTAATTTAAGATGATTTCACTTATGTAAAGAACACAGAATAAAGCATTGACTATAAGTAAGAGGCACAAATTTAGATTAAAATATAAGCCACTGGCCATTGGAAATGAAAGTATACAGCACTCCAACATGATTACTGGTAAGTATATTTGTGATTTTCTATGTCTGTTAAATAAAACTATATTTATTAAAGTTTTTCCAAAATTATCTCTATCAAGGAACTTTGAGGAAGTTACATATTTTTCCTATAGAATCCAATAAACTAAAACATATTTCGATATTCTTATCTTTAAAGAACTTAAATGTATAAGTCAGTTTGCTGCCAAACAAATCTCTAAAGGATAAAAATCCAAAAACAACTAGATAGACCAAAGAACTGTGAGAGGGAAGTTGATATTCTATCAACGCATATAATCACAGCATTAACAATTCTTGCATAATTATTTTTCTAATGTCTATATTTCAGAAATGTTTAACATATTTTATTTTGCTGCAATATTTTGAAATAGAGCCATTCTGTAAAAATAATGAACATTTCTACAGAATGACAGATGTCTTAGAAAAAGAATTCCCATCTGAGGTTACAGATAGCTATGAAAGTTACTAAGATTTGATGTCTCAAAGTACAATTCATGGTAATACAAAGTTCGTCAGTAGCAGACTTCAGCATTTATTTGTGATGATTTCATGGATAATAAAATTGCTTAGCTCCTGAACATTTCTATTCCATTATTTAAGTAAAATAGTTTAAGATCTCAAAAGTAATCATCAATGACTATTTTTTCAAGTGTTGGCTTTGGATATGGCTTCTGTTTTTCTATACTATAATTTTAATAGCGTGTGAAAATGCACTTAGTAAAGGTGATATTACCTCGAGGATCTGACATCTTTCAAAATGAGTATCAGTTATATTATGCATGTTATTTGAGATTGAATTTTTTTTAATAAGTATCTTCTCAACTTCTTTTGCATTTCCTCAACCATTCTGTAAAATGTTCCATGTTTTTGTTCTTTCTCTTTAAATCCACTTGCATTCCAGGGGCTTTAAAATCAGCCTAATAAGCCTGAATGCTTCTTTCCTCACATATGCATCCCATGAAAATTTTTGACAAGATTTTTAGAACAAAGGCCCATAAACTACTCTAATAAAGTTTATCCAATCATAATTGTACCATTCCTATTTATAACTTGACTTTGGTAATATAGTGGAGCTCCCTTAGTGGTAGGAAATTCTAGCATGAGGAATGTGAATGCTTTTGAGATTTATTAACTTCCATCCTTACTGAGGTGGTATTTGGCACCATCATTACAAGTGTTTTATATATTTTCTGAAAGATCTTATACAGAGATCATGTCCTGATTTAGTCTACAAAAAATTATAAACTGTTTTTAGGAAATATATTTAGTAGTTTTAAAAGTGGAATTAAATGAGAAAATATACACAGAATCACCAAAAGACCATAAACTTTTTAATCTGCTTGTGTGATTTTTTTTTTGTTAAAATCACTTTGAAAATACAAAAGGAAGCTATATTACAGAAACATTAAACCTGTAGTCAGTAGTCCTCATATTTTGATTATATGTTGATCTGTAATTGTATCTGCCCCACAGGGATGTTTAAATACTCCTGAAATTTTAAGGAAATAATGCAGATTAGTTTTAGTATTGATATCATGTAGCTCAATAAAGTCTCAAATATATTTGAAATAACACTAGAAATATAAATTCTGTTGAATTGCTGTGTTACTATGTTGTTCTAACATTTTCCCATATTCTTGAAATAGACATGGATCAAGGAGTAGCTTTGTTTCTGAATATGGAATAAAGAACTAGGAATTAATGCCTCTCAGTAAAAAGTATCTTCTTGGATTGTGAGAGAGTTTTTGAAAAGAACCTTAGTGGTATTCTTTAGAAAAGGTAATCTTCAAACTGAAGTCATTTGTCAAGTAACAGATAACAAGTAATTTAAATAAAGGGAATTCAGCATCATTTTAGAAAACTTCCTTGATGAAAGTATGATTCATATAAAAATATAAAACATTATTAAATATATATATATTTACATCAACTCCTAGTTCAGTGTTTAGGCAATGTTTAAGTAAAAGACTAAATAATTTTGTTCTCCATGGAAAATTACTTGAGCCTATTTAAAGCTGATCCATTGTTTCCTAAAAACAGTATTCTATAGTAAATTCCAACTTTACAGCTGCATGTTTAATAGCTTTTCTTTCTTTCTTTCTTTCTTTCTTTCTTTCTTTCTTTCTTTCTTTTTTTTTTTTTTTTGTATTTGAACAAGCTTAGTCAATTGCTACATGTGTCAGACAAGGAGACATTTCTGCATTATCATTTCAGTGTGACTAAGGATTTTTTTAAGTTAATTATAAAACTTCTCATTTTTTTGACGAGGGGAAAAAGATCAGACCCAGCCCATGTTTCTGATACTCCTTTGGGTTTTTAAAAATCTAATTTCATCACCAAAGAATAAGAAGCCCTGTGGTGGCAGTGTTCAAAGTAGTCTCATCAAAGGGCACAAAGGACAGATGCAATATTTAAGGGATTGGTTGGATTTTAAGTCACGATTTTATGCTGTTGATTGTTCCAACTGGTACATTGAAGAAACACACAGGGCAGCATATGCCAGTGTTTAAATTGTAGTACTATAACTCTTTGCCCCCAAGCATTCCAACCAGGGGTTGAAAGAAGGCTTTTTGATTTGCCTCTGTGATACAGACATGTCTCATAGGAAATAAGATGTCTGTCACTGGACATTTTTTTCACCGTGACCACCCTGCCTTCCCATGCTCCCTTGTTTATTGCTGACTGTGCTCTTGTTTTCCTTCAAGGTCTGGCGCACCTGATGATGGGCGACCAAGGTATGGGCTCTGTTCCTTTTCCACTCTGCTTTCAGTGTTTTCTTGTTCTGTAGCTGCTTGAAACCATCACTACAAAGGATGGGCAAATGCTTGCAAATTATCTGGCTGCAAATTAAATACATAACTTTTGTTCACATCTTTACATGTTTTTCGCCCCTGTGTTTGTTGGTTTGATTTTGGTTTGCTCCGTTGACTTTTATTTTCCTTCATTCTTTGCACTATAATATATGCAGATAGATGAGACATAAGATTTTGTGATTGAAAGTTTCTGTACATTTCTAAGCATATGCAGTTAAAGGTAGCTATAGTAAAGAAAACCTGAGAACCATCAGAAGTTAATATCTGATTTTCAGTTGAACTGACTGTACCAAAGAGAGTCCATTTTTCACCCATGCATGGCAGTTTGGGAACATGCAGACATCTTTGGCTTCTGGCTTCTAGAATGCTGAGTATAGTGTTTCACAGAATCAATAATTTTCCTACTTATAGCATAGTCATTGTGTATCTTCTTTTTTGTGTAATCTTTTAAAGTGAGCATGGGCGTTTCAATTTTTTTGCATGTTGCCTTTAAAAAAAAAGGCAGATTTCTCAACGTGTGCCGATTTTATCTCCACGTGTTTTCAAGTCTTTATTTATACTTTCTTGTCTTGTTTAATTTTCAAACAGTAGTGCATTTACATATATTCATAATTCTTATTGTTGTTTCTCTTTTTATTCTCTTTGTATGGAAACTCTTTCTTCATGGAACCATTTCATCAAATCCATAGGTAAAAGTAAAGGTATTACATTATTTTATTTCTTTTTATTATCATCTGTATGAATTACAGTGTGTATAACTTATGAAAATGTATTTAGAACTTTTCACATTAGTAATGGGCACTGAGAGGTAGGTATGAGTGTTAATGAATATTAATTTAAGGTAAGAAAACTCCATCAAAATGTTTCACTGTTTTTTTCCTTGCTCTTTTGAGTGATTTTTCTCATGTTTGCTGCTTATAAAATCAGTATATTTAGAAATTAGCTACAGGTTTCAGTATCACTTTTTGCAGTATCATTTAATGATGAGTGTAGTCACCATAAATATATCATCCTCAAACATTTAACTCAGGAGCACACCTGCCCCAGCCATTTTGCATTGGGATGTAAGTCTAAACATATGCAGCATCTAAACAGTACTGCAGTGTGCTCATTACTTTGTTGCCTGCTAGGTGTCATATATACATTATTAATTCCACAATAATTTGAAAAGGCAGTACCGTGAAAGAGATAAAGAAACAAGACAAGCCTGTTCTTTATTTTTCACATACTAACTTTGTTTTAAGAACATTATCAACCAGGTATACATTTCTGCATCACTTGGTAAGTCAGGCATGTGTACTCCTTGACAGCATTGATGCCAGATTTAAAAGCATGCTTAATTTGCCATTTAGAACCATCCACATTGTGTTTAGTGTTTTCATTAACAAGAAGTAGATAATATGTAGCTGTGGTAAATATGTATCACAGCCTTTAAGTTAACCATTTTTAACTATGTATTTCTGAATGTGTCCTTGGTCTCTTGGTTTTTTGTTTTTGTTTTGTTTGTTTGTTTTGTGGGTCTTGTTTTTATTTTAAATGCAGGAATCTTTCTTATCCTTAAATTCTCTGAATTTTCTTGTGCTCTGAATCTTAATCTGAATTGGGACAAAAGGTCACAGATCTTCACCTTTACCTTTGTGTCATCTAGCAGGGAAACTTCTCTGCTTGAAAAAGCACATGAACATGAGCCGGGCAATAAGTAAGAAATGATATCAGTTTTAAATGTGTAAAATGGAGCTTTAGAAACAAATGTTGCTTGGGTATTTTGAGCCAATAAAAGAGAACATATGCTACTGCAGTGTGTTTTGGTCAACCATTTACAATAATATAATTTCATCTTATTTTAAGCCTTCTAGCAACTATACAAATGACAGTACCTTTGTTTTAGAGATTTCATGTACTATTTGGGATGCTTTCTAAATTCTTAGGTCAAATTCCCATCTACTTCCCTTTCTTATTGGGCATTTCCCACCATATTTCTTTTTAGATGACTCAGGATGTTGTAGAGGGAACTGTGTGTATATTTTACTTTACTGGCTGAGATATATATATGCATATGTGTTTGTATATGTATGAATGCATGTATATACACAAACATTATAAATATACAAACACATATACATTATGTCATAAAAAGTAACTCAAAAATAATGTTCTAATTCTATAACCATTTAACTCTACATACAGAATAATTCATGTTTATACTCAGCTGATATTTGTTTTGATGTAATTAATGTTAAGTGTCACTTAACTTCATTCAGTTTTATTATGTGAGTCTTAAATGCTTTCTGTTGGCGTGTGTGTCAGACATATTTTAATTCACTACTTTTCATTGAGTTTTATTCCTCAGTCAGCACAAAACTACAGAGCACAGGAATTTGGTTTTTCCTTTACATTTTTCCTCTGTTAATGGGACCAGGATGTTTTTTGTTGTTAAATGGGGAAAGAAGATTTTAAGATAGATTTGACTGTTTTGCAAATTAGATGTATAGAAATGAGAAATATGATTTGTAAGTCTTCTTTAATTGTTAATCAATTCAATAAATCTGCATTCTAGAGTAAAAACACAATCTTGACTGACATGGCATCCACATTCAGAGAGTTTCAGTATAGTAGGAAAATGAAAACATGTGGACAAATGTATAAATGACAGAATGGAAGTGTTGTGAAAATGGTAAAAAAAATGTGATTTGCATTCAGAGAAGATAAAAATAACATGAATGAGGGCCTCCCTTAGGTACCTCTCCTTGTCCTGTGCCACAAGTCAAAGGAATAAAGAAATACCTAGAAACTTTCATTGTAGCTTTTAATATCAAGTTAAATCCTAGTTGTGTATGAAATAGGTGTTAAAACTGTCCAGTCTGAAATAATTGATTTGCATTGTAAATTAATGCTTCAAAATCTTTCCATCACAGTACAATCCTGGAGCATTTTTCTTGACATTGCTGCTCTCTTTAGCAGTAGTGAATTTGGGGACTCTGGAATGAATATCTATGCATTAATGTCTTTTTTTTTTTTTGAGTCCAGAGACAAAATTGGATTCAAGAACATTATTATTATCATTTTGATTTTTTCTATATGGATTTTTAAATATTTTCTAAATTTTTGATGTCCAGAGATAGATGAATGCCATTCCTTAAAAAAAAATAATAAATAAATAAACAAATAAATAAATAAATAAAGTAACTCATTTAAAGAGAACATTACTCCTGTTAGCCTTCATCCTCCTTAGTCTTCCCCCTAGAGGTAAGCACTGGTATCACTTTGTGATGTATCCTTACATAGTTGATGTGGATCCTTTCATAATCCCTAATTAATTTTTCAGGGTTTGGAAACTGCAGAATTCCTTTTGATTTGTACATGACAAGAACAGCTAAGTCATGTTAAAGAGGTGTGTTAAGGATCATTGTTAAGCTTCCTCTCTCTTCCCATAGGCCACCTTATGTCATACTTTCAATTGGTCATTCTACTTCAAACTTTACAATTATTTGGATTTGTTTCCATATTTTCTGAATAAAGATAGGCCACTTTTAACTGGATACAGTTAGGAATAAACTTTGTTTCAATGATTTGTACCTTTCTTTGGGAGAGCTGAAGACAAGCGCTACTCAGAGCCATCCGTGCTTCTGCTAATTGTGCCTAGAGGGATCCAAATGGATTTTGTGAAAATTGTGTTTGCTTTCCCTTTTAGGCTTGAAATTTGTCATTAGTAATGTTAGGACCATTGACACTGCTAACTTGATTCTCCATTCTGTTTATAATTTTGGCTTTGCCTTTGAATTAGTTGATTGTTTTTGTTTTTTTTCCATGATTCTTTAACTGGTCGCTTCATTTCAGTAATTACTTTATTTACTCATCTTTTACTCTAATGGTTGTCTGAGAGAAATGAATGACCATTTAGATCAGAAAATGCCAAAAAAAAAAAAAAATAAGTTACACTGCAAATCCGGCCACCATGGCTGGTTTATAGCTCAGGAACTATTAGTTATTATTTTAATAATTAATGGTCATGCTCTGATTAGAGGCTCGTATTTTCTTTTATAGCAGTCATTTTAGATGTAATTATATATTTAGATGAGTGATTATGTATTTAATGTTAACATTTCCTAGTAGAATGTAAGCCCCATGAGGGCAGGAAGTTTGTCTTTCTTTTTAAACATTGTATTTCTAGAATATTTTTCTTATTGTATCTTCAACTTACTATTTTCATGACTTAAGAATGTGTGTGTGAGGTGGAGGGGGTAGAGGAGCACATTAAAAGAGGCAAATGTAGAAGAAGACATGGAGAGTTTGGAGTGGACAAAGTAGAGGGTGGAAAAGGAAGAGGAAATTTAGAAAATAACTAAAAGGAATTGTAGCAACAAATCACATAGAATCCTTTCTGTCTCTTGTCTCTCAACTTACTTTTTTTTTTCCTATCATTCATATCCTTTTCTAGAACTGCAATATGTCTTTCTAGTAAGGCATCATTCCAAAGATAACACTGCGATATACCTTAGCATATGCACCACAAGGAGTCTATAAGGAAATGAAGTCAATGTATCTTTGTATTTAAGGGTTTTCAAGAATTTTAATGTGATTTGTTTTCACAGTGTCAGATGATCAATTTTTATTTTGTAGCTTTCATTGTTTATACAATACAGAAATTTTCCTGAAAGTTAAATTTGCTATGCTATCTTATGTGGTTTCCATGAGGTTTTTGTTTGTTTTTTGCTATTATTGTTGTTTTGAATCTCACTGTATCAACTGTAACGTACCACAAGACCTATTTAGACTGGGTTTGGATTGTAAGCTTCCAAAAAAGCCAAAATGTTTTATAAGTCTTATCTTGTGATATGATATTTGCTGTTCCTACATTCATAAATTCCAGAGTATATTTGCAAAGTGAATGTCCACTTTACCATTTCAAATGCAAGAATAAGTGTTTGATTATCCCGGTTTCTTGTATTTCAGAAGGCCAAGGTATCACAAATACAACTGTCAGGCATAAAATTATTGTAAAAGGGCCTAAACTTTATTTTACTGGTGAAAATGAAGATCTTAAAATAGAGTAAATTATATAAAAAAGGTTTTTTAAAAACTAATGGTATCAATAACTAGATATAATTGATTCCACTACAATTAGCCATGTCAAAGATTACATGTTTTAAAATTTTATCTGTAATGTCACACCATAACTCTTAAAATTTTATTATATTTACTCTTAAAATTGAGTTGATGTTGTTCATATTTAGGGGAAGGAAAAAGCATTTAGTATTTTTTGTATAGTTTCCTTTTGTGTATGAAGTACCCAACTTCAGATCACCAACATCATGATGCATATTTGTTTTATAACTTTTAAATACATTTTACTGTGTTTTTTTATGTGGATCTAATTTGATTTTAAAAATATATTTCTTTTCTTCCATATGGCTTCTTAAATCATATTTCCCCATTTATCTTTATAATAAATATTCTTCATCATTGAGAAATATTTGTGAATGTTGACAGAATTTTACTGTATTGAAATGCCTACATTTGGTGCATAGGCAAACTAAGCAGTAATTTATTTTGAATTATCTGTTATTACTTTTACTGTTGCAGTATCAGGAGGTGCTGCTCCTCATTTACAGTTACAGAACATGGAAAGACTAGAATTTCACTTTATAAAATCAGACATTAAATATCTTCATCATCCTTATAAATATCTTCATCAATATGACATAGAAGGTTATGTGACTATTTAGAATTTGGAACTTTTTAGTTTTTCTTTAGACTATATGTCTATCTCTTCTGGATATAATCAAGAAAAATGCTTGAAAAGTAAATATTTATGTGTTATCTCTTGCTGGAATTCAGTCAGTTTTGTCGTTATAGTTATTACTAATAAGAGTCCCAGATCCTCCAAATCTCTGCATTCTTAGCTCTGGGATGAGATAATCACATCTTCATACATTTATAAACAATGGTGAAATTGAATAACTAATAAACTAAACAAGGACTTTATTTAGACTTTATTAGATTAATTTATCCTTGGAGAAGAACACAGAAACGAGTTTCCATAGTCTAATATTTTAAAGTATGAGGTAGTGTAAATATAAATTTAGATGCTTTACTGGAATAGATCAAAAATAGCAAAAAAAATTTAAATTATGGCATACTACACTTTAAAAGAATGATATCTGGGGTGCCTGGCTGGTTCAGTTGGTAGAGCATCTGACTCTTGATCTTGGAGTTGTTAGTCCCATATTGAGCATGGAGCCTACTAAATAAATAAATAAGTAAAAAAATAAAAATAAAAGGATGATTCCTTCTCCAAAATAATAATTTTATCTGTCCATTTTAAATTGTAATTTTATTAATCTAGGTTTTGTTTAAAAACCAACATCAACACAGGCTGGTAAAAGGGAATATTTTTTAAATTGTGTTGATCATGATTTTAAAGAAAATTGTAATTTTCTAGAGTGCTTAGCTGATATACTAAAAGAATCTGGGTATTTTGGGGGCACTTGACTGACTCAGTAAGTGAGGTGTCTGACTCGATCTCGGGGTTGTGAGTTTGAACCCCACATTAGTGTGGAGATTACTTAAAAATACATTTTTTAAATGATTTATTTACTTATTTTAGTGGGAGAGGGGTGGAAGGAGAGAGAATCTTAAGAAGACTTAATAGGGTTCTCGATCTCATGACCCTAAAATCACAACCTGAACCAAAACCAA